ATGCCCCGACAGGGAGAATCATAAACTCCTGTAGAAGACGTAGGGTAAGTAATTCAATAAATAAATAATATATATATATATATATATACGTGTTCAATTGCAATATTAAATAGACATTACCTGCATTGCTAGCTTATTTCCTGCATGTGAGCCTCCATTGATAACATTGAATGAAGGCACAGGCAGTACCAAATTCTTGTTACCAGCCAGATTGGCGATGTGCTAAAAATTAAAAATAGAAAGCAGACCATGAGACCCCAAGATACACAAATAGGAACTATTATTAGTGAAACCTCACATACCTTGTACAGTGGAATTTTCTTCACTGCAGCACCGGCCTTACAGACAGCAAGTGACACTGCCAATATAGCATTGGCTCCAAGCTGAAATATTCAATATTGTGGAAACCCAATTAACATAAAATGGATGGCCAATGCTGCTACAAAAAGATGCAGCCACTGAACTCAATAAGCTAGAAACAGAACATATAGTGATACCTTCTGCTTGCACCACCCCCATTCATTAACAGTTCCATCAAGCTGCTGTACCATAAAGTTGTCAAGTTCAGTCTGCTTGGTTGGGTCCTGAAAAGGCAGGAAACAAATAACAGATGAAATCAATTATCCACCACTAGCATGTTTCAAACAATATGCTATAATCCAATTTTACGTCTGCACAATACCTTGCCAACCAAAGCAGGTGCTATAATTTTATTCACATTCTCCACAGCCTACGCCAAGGAAAATATAAAATCTTATCATCAGCTCCAACGCATTAAAAAAGTAAATAATAAAATTTAAAAAAAAAAAAAAACAAATGAAAATCAAGAGAGATCCAGATCCTCAGCAGCCAGGGAATGCATGCATTCAAGTCGGTCAACCATAACTGTTGGATGAAGATCGAGCAGCTCAGATTTGGTATATCCGATTTATAATATACATGCGTGAATGCATGCTTGTAATCCATTTTCCAAAACGACTTGTAAACACATCAAAGTAAAAAAAAAAAAAAAACAAAAAAATGAAGCATCGTGCACCTTGAGAACACCTTTCCCGAGGTAGTCTGATCCTCCATCCCTCAATTCCAGAGCTTCATAGACACCTTTACAGAAAGCAAACCAAGTTAAGACAAACCACTCTCAGATATCTACGCAATACAACACGCAACAAAACCTACGCATTCCACTTATAGTCAATTAACTACCACACTCCAAACTCAACAATCCCATTCGGCATGATAATGACACATCAAGCAGAATAACACAAACAATAACTCATACAACAATGAAAACAAAAACACGTCTCCTTCTCTCTCTCTCTCTCTCTCTCGTACAAACAACGATGAATTATTCACCTGTTGAAGCACCGCTAGGCACAGCGGCTCTGGCGAAGATTCCATCGCTAAGAGTAACATCAACCTGTGACAGTAACAAACCACATTCAGAATCGATAAACTATAGCTTCGCATAAACAAGTTCCGTCATAAAAAAATGTAGAACGTGAATTAATTTATCTCTCATTTTCCCGCACATTCAGTAACGACAAGCCACATCTCCACATTAACCAGTTCCGAAACAAAAGTAGAACAAAAACCTTTCTATCCAACACTGAAAACAGAACGTGAATTCATTTTCATCTCGTTTTCCCCGCACATTTTCTCAACAATGTCGAAACAGAAACGATAAACCATAGGTTCGCATAAATCAGTTCCGTAACAAAAGTAGAATAAAAAAACCATATCCAACAGTGAGAACAGAAGGTGAAGTCATTTTTGTGTGATTTTCTCAACAGAAAAAGGAAAAGGAGTGAGAGAAGAAAGCGAGGCTCACTTCGACGGTTGGATTCCCACGGCTGTCGAAGATCTGGCGAGCCTTGATGACCTTGATCGTTGCCATTGTCACGAATCGCAGAGTGTCGCTGTGATTTTCCGACCCTTTTTTCTCGTGAAAATGAACAAGGTGGATACAATATATAGTGGGTTGGGACGTGGGCATCACGGAAGAGGCCGCTGAATCTGGACCGTTGGGCGTGGAAAAGGAGGATGACGTGGACGGCTGAGCTGGGGTTCTAAAGCGCATGGTGAGACTCTTGCTCCGATGCGAGTGGGGCCCACGAGACGAATATGCTCTCTTTCTTTCTAGGTGCCGGAAACAACGTTCAATTCAATCGTCGGAATTCCAAACCAATATTTTTTTATTAAAACATTTTAAATATTTTCAAATTTATGATGAGGTGTATTAATAATATTTTTGTTTTTAATTTCTTAATCAATACACGTTCATTAGATTTATTTGATTTTTATTAGGGTCAATTTTATGATAATTCTGATCAGTTAGAAGTGAAAGGAAGTTATATGAAATGGAACGTTTCATTAATTGTTCTAGAAGAAACTCACTTTCAATTCTCCCATTGATTTTTTTTCGAGTTAAAAATGCATTATTATAGAAGCACATAAATCATCTTTCGTTTTAACCTTCACATGCGACATAAGTTTGGTATATGTATCCATCCTTAATCTTCCTCAATTTCACACCAAGCTAGAAAACAATATATATTGTCTTGTGTCTTGTTTTACCAGAATAAAAATGATATGAAAAGGAGTGGTTTGAGAGCACCTAGTTCTGATAAAGGGTTCTTTGTTTTGGAAAAAGCAGTTTATTGTTTTGTCAGTAAAAGGTTTCGTTGGTGGTTTTCACACATGGACCAGGTTGATTTGTAAAATTCAAGGTCCGTAGGCATCAGTGGCCAACAGTTTTTGCGTTCTGATTTCTATAGCTATTTGGGCTGTATTTGAATTTTTTTAAAACATTTGTTGGTTATAAATAATTAACTTCAACGAATTACAGCGATTATAAACATACAATAATGATTATCAATACAGAAAGTAACACTATGAATCCCAAGTAAGATATTGGAATGGCTGAAGTTGTTTCACGTTCATATTTTTTTATTTTTTTTGTCATGAGTTATACACAATGCTGTACAATAAAATATAAAAACTACACATAGATTTTATTTTCCATGATAATATGAAAAAAAAATTAAATTAATTACACTCATATTCCCTATTTTTTTAAAAAAAATTGTGTTGGATATCCCATCATAATTTAGATATATAATAAAACCTATTAAAAGAATAATAAATGTTACACAAATCTCTCCTCATTCCAAAAATGTTTGTCATATGATAAGTACATCATTTTTAATGAATTATTCTCTCTCAAAAATGCACTCATCTTCTCTAATTACTCTACCTTTTCAATATCCTTCAACTTCCTCTCCACCCTCCACATCACCACCACCAAATAGTTATTGTAATTAAGCTACTTGTATATTTCATTAATTCTCTTTTCTATTATGTTGCATTGGCTCTCCCTTAAGGAGGTGACGATGGTACAGTTAAGGAAGTAGTGAGTGAAGTAGTCAGAGAATATGAGAGCATTTTTAAGGAGAGAGAAATTCACTAAACTCGTGTTGGTCGCATTATACGCATCTTTGGATTTAAGGGAGGTTGATGTAACATTCATTGAGTATTAAGTATAATTTAAAATATATATATATATATTGGTATATCCGATTTATAATATACATGCGTGAATGCATGCTTGTAATCCATTTTCCAAAACGACTTGTAAACACATCAAAGTAAAAAAAAAAAAAAACAAAAAAATGAAGCATCGTGCACCTTGAGAACACCTTTCCCGAGGTAGTCTGATCCTCCATCCCTCAATTCCAGAGCTTCATAGACACCTTTACAGAAAGCAAAC